AGAAATGTGTGTTGCATAACTCAGGGCCAGGTTATGATACCCTGACTTGCATTTGAATCCTCAAGTAGTTTATTTCAGTGGGAGTTTTGATTGAATGAAGAATGTGTGGTGGTATATAACCGGGGCTAGGTTAGAACCAGAATTTTTATGCTTTTCATAATGCTAAGGATAATACTGTATACAATATCAGCTAATAGTGTCATGCTTTTCTCCGTGGTTACCTAACACCAGCTTTTCTGAGTAAACATTTAAGCTTTTCTTATTGTTCAGCTTGTTTCACTATTATATATAGGGTGGTTTTCATTTCCCAGGGCACTGAAGAAGCAAAGGAAATAAAAGTAGGAAAAACAGAGGGTTGGTTTAGTTTTGCCTAAAGGTTTTGTCTCGAGTTATGGTTCTAAGAAGCTGAGGTAATGCATTGCCTGCTTGGCTAAATAGGCCTGGTCTTCTAGAACGTGACATTCTACATTCTGCGGTGATTTATAAACCCAGCAATATTATGATGTTACAGAAGGAAAGACCATCAATCATAGATAGTTAAAGAAACAACACTTGTTTAAATTTACTTCCTCAATGCCAAACTGTAAAGCAGCTTCTATTATTTTCTGTTTCGGGGCATATGGATTTCCTTTTTTTTTTTTTTTTTATATTCCTATAAAAATTTTTAAAATACCTGGAATTTCAGCAAAAACTCAGACTATTCAGACTTATAGGTTTTAAGTAATAACTAGTAAATGAATAAATGTTGTTTTGTCATTTAAATATTGTACCTGTTCAGTTGAGGAATAAAAAACATTTACACAGCAAAATTGTTATGATAAAGTTCTTATAAATTAACGATGAAAATACCATAAACCTGTATGGTATATGATATGAATGAATTAATTTTAAAGACTTGCATACTTCGTGTTAATTCAAATTGGTGAGACATGTATCTGACCAGCCTAGCAAAATTTATAGGTAATATATAAACCTAATGCATAAGTAATTGAAATAGTCATGCTTCAGTGAGAGAGCTACCTTTGTTAAACAAATGAATGTCTAATCCATAACAGTGCTTTTCTGTTTTTTGTTCAATATCGTTGCCTTATTTCTAATGAGTAAAAAAATAACAACAGCTAAAACCACTGAAGTTTTGAGTCTTATAAACTTGAAATCAAAAAAGTTTACCAAAAGGCTAACATTACATCTCAGTAACTGAAACTGCTTCCAGTTTGGAGGCAGTCAGTGCTTCCTCAAGTTAATGTCAGTCATTTTATGATTTTGAAGTGAAAATATTAAATTATAGCATTTTTGTGTTTCCAAACAAAAACAGACTTTCCCAGTTTCACCTCTGTCCTCTTTGATGTTTTTGCATTTGTTCAAACACAGATCTAAAATTAAAACCTGTAGCATCAAATGGCAAAAACTGTGATACAATATTTCTGCACAGTAGTATTAGGCTATTGTGCAGTAGTGGCCCAAAAAGACATTTGTGCATAAAGTATTAAATTACCGTATAGTAACATCTACGCACTCAGCATCATGTGTAGATGCAGCCAAAAATGGTGAAGAGAATTGTATTTGTGCAGGCATCTTTGAGCCAAAACCATAGTCTCACAGTCTGCATCCACATGAGTGAGCACTTGCCCGTGTCATCTCATAGCAGTCTGAGATGTTTCAGGAGATACACCACAAATGAAAAATGTTTGCAGTGCTGACTAAATTTGATAGTAGGAAATCCAGGTATTAAAAGTAAACGCGCCAGAAAAAAGCAGCACAGGGCATGTTCTTGGAGTGTGCCCCAAAGCAACTGGAGGCTGGGTCATCCAACGAGATGCTTTAACACCTGACCAGAGCATCTCTATGCCTGCTGCATGTCCCAGCTGCTCCAGCACGCTGCCCCAGCATGCCAGAGGAAATAAAAGCCGGTCATAGCTGCAGCTGCTGGCCAGGCTCCATGCAGCAGAATCACTGCCTTTGCAGCTCCAGGAGGGCTCCAGGATCCCAGGTAAGGCTGCTGGGGCCAGTCCAGTGCTCCAGCCTCCCCTACCACCCCCGGGGTAACGTGCCAGAGGACATGTGGCATGGGCATTCCCCAGGGACAACTAGCAGCAGCACAAGGTGCACCACTGTTAGTTGTCCCTAGGCAACCAAATGTCCACACCACGTGTGGATATGGCCACAGACTCTAATTTAGTCTATACTGTTCATCAGTTTAATACAGCCATTGGTTCAAGTATTCATAGTAACAATTTCATAATTTTTATTCTCTTTCCATTTGTGAACTGATTGGCAACTACATGAAGAAAGAATGTATGCAAATTGTCTCTCATATGGAGATATGCTATGAAACTGTTTTATGAATGGGAATAAGATTTTAACCTTGCTAGCCAGATTCAGACAAGTGAGCACAAGCCTGTTGCAGCACCTGAAAGCATTTTCAGATGCTGCAAGAGGCACACTAAGAACGAAAAAATGTTTCCTGTACTACATATTTGCGGTGTGGGCTCTAAATTTGGTACTGGGAAATCCCAGTATAAAAACAAAAAAAAACCATGCAGGAAACAAGCATCACAGGGTGTGCTCCTGAAGCATGACCAGAGGCAGCCAGAAGCTGGGCCCTCCAAGAAGATGCTCTAGCACCTGGCCAGAGCGTCTCTATGGCTGCCTCATGCCCCTGCTGCCCCAGTGTACTGGAGCAAATAGGAGCGGGGCAAGACTGCAGCAATAGATTGACCCAGGCTCTGCCCCAGGTGTAAGGACATGGGAGTCAGGGGACTTGGGAGTGGGGGGGACTGTGTGTGTGGGGATGGGTGGGACTGTGGGTGGAGGGACTATATGGGGGTGGAGGGACTGCTTGGGATGGGTGGGTTCCCCCTACATGGTGCACAGTCCCCCCTCCCCCAGCAGCAGCTGTTAGAGTACTTATGCCCGTTCCTGGTTGAGATCCCTGGCAAGTGCATTTGCCACAGGACATAGGCCTGGCCCACTGGCACACCCTCTGGTAGAACCAGGCTGGTTTTGCTGTCACCTAGGGTCCCGGCACTGCATGCAGATGCTGCACACCCTTAGGCCAGGCCAGCCCGATGGTGTGCAGGGCACATGGAGGCAGTACCTGGCCTGGCCCAAGGGCATGTGGCTTCTGCATGCGGTGCCAGGACCCTAGGTGACAGCAAGAGCTGGCCTGGTGGTTACTGGGACTAGGAGCCCCCATCAGCTGGGGCTCCATGTCCTACTACCAGCATAGTCACGGGGCAGGACTGCAGTGTGGCAGTTGTGCCTGCAGTCATGGCTTCCACCAGCGGGTCCTGTCTTGCCCAGTCTGGTGGCTAGGCATGCAGTGTGTGAGATTTGTGGTGTTTGGGTGACGGAAGAGGTGGGGGGGGGGGGGGGCTTCTGGGCCCCGCCC